TTCATATGTTTGTTGGCTGCCCAAATGTCTTCCTTGGTGGAGTGTCTGTTCATGTCCTGTACCCATTTTTTAATTGGGTTACTTGTCTTTTTCTTGTAGAGGTGTTGTAGTTTCCTACAGAGTTTAGAGATTAGTTCCACATACTTTTTATTGTTTGTTGTTAACTGCCATGTAGTCAGCAGTCCACTCATAGTGATCCTGCATCATGTTTCTGAGGAGCAGTCTTTTAATGGTGGGTTTGAGCCTCTGACCTTGCAATTAGAAGTTCAGTGCTTATCTGATAGTGCCACACCAGGACTCCACATACTGCTTATTTTTATTGTTGTTGTTAAGTGCTGTTGAGTCCGTACTGACTCACAGCAACTCTGTATAGGGTTTCTGAGGAGCGACTGGTGGGCTTGAACTGCCAACCTTGAGGTTAGTAGTCCAGTGCTTATCCTACAGCTCCACACCAGTACTCCATACCTCTTAGATACCTGTAATATGTTATTAGGAAAGTATTCCTAATCATTTACTGTTGCAAAATAAAATTGATAGTTGTTATTGTTAAGCGTCATCCAGAGGTGATTTAATAGGCCACCTGAAAAGCCTAACTTCAATTTTACTATTATTAAAGCAGAAATGAAATATTTGTAACTGTACTTATAACCTATTTTTTCTATCTTCCCAGGATAGGGAAGGAAGAACTTTCTTGCCAATTATGGACAGATTATCTCCTGGTTCTTCCTGACTTTGAGATTTATAAAGGACTACATTTAAGGAATACATTATACTGTTGCTGACATCGATCAAGTAATGTGTAGAATTTTAGTTTAGAATGGAAGACACTGGAAAGTGTCCAGAGAAGAATAATGACCATAATTAAAGTTTTAGAAAAAGGGAGGGATTTAGGACAAAAATTATATGGATAAAGTTGAGGAAACCTGAGAAATCTAGGATGCTTGCTTTACTTTTTAAGGTTTTTGTTCCAGCTTTAAGGAAGCTCAATGTATAAAAAAAAGTTTATATGATCAAATGGTTATCAAAATTTAAGAGTCCCTACAACAGTATATCCCATAGACTTGAAAGCAGTGACTCAAACACACATTTGTACACCAACATACATTATAGCATCATTTACAAGAGTCAAAAAGTGGAAATAACCCAAACATACATCAGCAGATGACAAAATATGGCATACGTATACAAGGGTATATTATTCAGCTAGAAAGGCAATGAAGTTCTGATCTGCAGATTACTCTTGAAAGCATTATGCTGAATGAAATAAAGCACACAAGGTCAAACGTACATGGTTCATTTATAGGAAATATCTACAATAGGCAAATACATAGAGACCAAAATTTACTAGTAGGCACTAAGGGATAGGGAAAATGGGGGGTTATTGCTGGGTACAGAATTTCCATTTGGGATGATGAAAAAATTGGGGGACTAGATAGTGGTGATGGATGTACATCCTGGTGGATGTAATTAATGACACTGAATTGCACACTTACAAATGGTTTCAGAAAAAGAGTGAGTGCAAGTCCATAAGGAGCTCTGGTAGCGGAATGGTTGTGTTGGGCTGCTAATCCAAGGTCAGCAGTTCAAAACTACCAGCCATGCTACAGGAGAAAGATGAGGCTTTTTGCTCCTGTAAAGATTTACAGCCTTGGAAACCCTGTATAGTCAAAACTGACTCCACAGTACACCACCACCACCACCACCATAGAGATCTTAAAAAAAAAAAAAAAAAAAGAATTAATTTATTTCTTCATCCAATAGATATTTATTGAATGCCTACCATGTGACAGTTCATGTTCTAGGTATAGACAGTAATAATCCACTCCCTCTTGGAGCTTAAATACCAGTGGGAAAATTGTTGTTGTTGTTGTTAAGTGTCGTTGAGTCGTGTCCAACTCATAGAGACCCTGTATAGGGTTTCTGAGGAGTGGCTGGTAGATTTGAACCACCGACCTTGCAGCTCAAACTGACCTTGCAAGCCGGTACATCATCCTGTAGCACCATACCAGTACTCCATTGGTGGAATAGAGATAATAAAATATAATATCACAACAAAGATTATTAGTAAAGTATGTAGTTTGTTATGTGCCTTCTACCTTGTATAAGATTTCAGAGGCTGTATAAATTTTTACGGAAGCAGAAAACTTCATCTTTCTCCCTAGGAGGTGATAGTTGATTCAAAATACTGATCCTGTAGGTTAGCAGCCCAACTAACTCATTCTATCACCAGCGCCCTTATATACTATGTTAGAAAGTGTTTTGTTTTGTTTTTTTAATAGAGCAGACTAAGGGGGATTGACTACACAAAGGCTTTCGATTGTGCGGATCATGACAAACTATGGACAACATTGCAAAGTATGAGTATTCCAGAACACTTAATTGTGCTCATGAGGAATATGTACCTGTACCAAGAGGCAGTTGTTCGATGAGAACATGGGGACACTGAATGTTTTAAAATTAAGAAAGGTGTGCGACAAGGTTGTATTCTTTCACCATATTTATTCAACCTGTATGCTGAGCAAATCATCTGAGAAGCTGGGTTATATGAAGAAAAACATAGCATCAGGATTGGAGGAAGACTCATGAACAACCTGTGATATGCAGATGATACAACCTTGCTTGCTGAAAGTGAAGAGGACTTAAAACATTTACTGATGAAGATCAAAGAGCACATTTATTATGGATTACATCTCAATGTAAAGAAAACAAAAATCCTCACCACTGGACCAATATACAATATTCTTATCAATGGAGAAAAGATTGAAGTTGTCAGAGACTTCATTCTTCTTGGATCAATTATCAACACTCACGGAAGCAGCAGTCAAGAAATCAATGACATATTGCATTAGGCAAATCTGCTGCATAAGACCTTTTTATAGTGTTGAAGAGCAGGGATGTTGGCTTGAGGAATAAGGTGTACCTGCCCCAAGCCATGGTATTTTCAATAACCTCATCTGCATGCGAAAGCTGGACAGTGAATAAGGAAAACTGTAGAAGAATTGATGCCTTTGAGTTATGGTGCTGGAGAAGAATATTGAAAGTGCCATGGGCTGCCAAAAGAACCAATAGATCCATTTTAGAAGAAGTGCAGCCAGATTGCTCCTTAGAGGCCAAGGTGGCCAAACTTCGTCTATTATACTTTGGACATATTGTCAGGAGGGACCAGTCGCTGGAGAAGGATATCATGTTTGGTAAGGTGGAGGGTCAGAGAAAAAGAGGAAGACCCCCAACAAGATGGATTGGCCAAGTGGCAGCATCGATGAACTCAAGCGTGGCAACAGTAGTGAGGTTGGCCCAGGTTTGGGCAGTGTTTTGTTCTGCTGTGCATAAGGTCGCTATGGGTCAGTACCGACTCGATGGCACCTAACAACAACAACAAGGGGGATTGAGAATAGGGATATTGCATATTTAGAAGGCGTAGTCAGCATGGGTATCTTTGAGCAAGCGCAGGTGAGCAAGTTGATGGAGCGAAAACACAAAATTCTGATGAGGCTGAGGGGAAACGATGATCATACTTTTTGCCCACCTTATGATTTGCAGTTTACAAAGCTGAACCAATCAATTAGGGGGCACTGGAGGAGTTGGTGCAGATTTTGTAAAACAGAGCAAAAACCCAATAAATTCCATTTTGGCCAGTTTGTGGTGCCAGAAGACCACTCACACGGAAATAATGTCCAGAAGGTAGTCAGAAACAGATCTGGAGTTGAGACAAACTACTTGAAATGCAGACTTCGATTTGAAATCACTTAACTATCTAGATGGCTTCAGCAATGGGAATGAATGAGTGAGCACAAGCTCACCAGGAGAGCAGAGTGAAAAGAGATCAAGGAGAGAACTTCATTATTGAATGTCTACATTTTTAGGGAATGAAAACTATCGAGAAGAGAAAATGCATTATATTCTGATCATTTGGTGGTGGTGGTTTGTCGTGAAGTCGGTTCTGACTCACAGCGATCCTGCCTAGGGTTTCTGAGGCTTTAAATCTTTGTTATTGAGTGCCATCGAGTCGGTTCTGACTCATAGCAACCTTGTACAGGGTTTCCAAGGTGCGGCTGGTGAGCTTGAATCACCGACCTTGCAGTCCAGTGCATTAACCCAGAAAGCCTCATTGTTCTCCCGCGGGACGGCTGATAGTTTCGAACTGCTGACCTTGAGGTTAGCAGCCCTACTGGTAACCACTACACTCCCAGCGCTCCTTTCTGATCACTTAGAAAGAAAGAATGAGAGAAAACCACGTTCTTCTTGTTGTTAAGTGTCATTGAGCCGGTTTCAACACATAGCGACCCTATATAGGGTTTCCAAGGAGTAGTTGGCTGGTTTGAACCACCAACTTTGTGGTTAGCAGTCCAGTGTTTATCCAACAGCGCCACACCAGGACTTAACAACAACAAATCATTTCTTCCTGAACGTAAACTGAATCTCTTTATGACAAAACACTCCCGCCACACTTCACTCTTTTTGAAGTGAATCTTTTTGCAAGGAAGGTAAAGAGAAGAGAACATTGTCCAAACATCCCCATGGGTTAAGTACTGGTTGTCCTTTATGTCCCATCTGATTACAAGCTTTAACACACTTGCCTTTTCCCGTAGTACCGGTTCTCAGAGTGCTGAAGCACTGAAAAGGCCTACAAGAAAGAAGAAAAAAAGACCTGGTTTGAGGGGGTTAAACTCAAACAAAATTCAGCGAACTGGCAAGGAAACCAAACTCAAAACTATTTGCCTCCAGCCCCTTCGCCCCTTTCCGCCAGCGGGATACGCCCTCTTCGCCCTATGTCCGCGCTCATTGGCTGGCGCCCGTTCTCTCCGCCTTCCACTTTTGCTTTATGCCCTCCCCTCCGCTACGCCTCTCCCAGGGTTGCCGCACTACGCAAACTCAGAGGCGGTCGCTGACCTTTAATGGGTCTCCTTTCCCTTCTTCCCGTCAAGCCTGTTTCCGCTTTCTCAAGGCTCTGTAGTTTTTCCATCACTGAAGCGCTTGGCGCCTAGCGCTCTCGTGACGTCATCTGTCTGCGCTACGCGAACAACCGCCGGTGGCAGCAGAAAAGGCTCCACCACCCTTAGCTTTTGTAGGACTACTGCTTTTCAAGGATCATGGCGCCGTCGCTATGGAAGGGGGTAGTGGGCATCGGCCTCTTTGCCCTAGCCCACGCAGCCTTTTCCGCTGCGCAGCGTAAGTGCCTGGGGGACGGGCACCGCTCTCTTGCGGAACCCGGGGGACAGTGTGTGGGTGCACTCCTTAGGGAGTGTCAGGCCAAGTGTCCGAAGATGAGTGGTCATTTGAGACCTTAGAGTTTCAGGGTGACTAAGAGAAGCAATGCAGGGCTCCCTGGGGATGAGAGGGTTGAAACTTGAGTGGACCACCGGAGATTGCGGGAGGGTTGGAGCCTGGGGTGTCTAGGAGAAGGCGCAGAGCGGAGCGGGTGGGCTGAAAGGGAGTCTATGTGGGAATCCGGAACAGGTAATGTCAGATCCAGCATGGGCTGAGCAGGTATATCTAGGGCTGATGACTCGGGGTGCTCGGGGTCTCTGGACAACTAGTGGACAACATTTTGGGCACGCCTGGGTTGTCAAAGCAGAGAATGGGAAGTTAAATGAAACCCGTTACCTCTGGGGGGCACTGTGGCACAGGAGAAAGAGCACTGGATTGGGAGTCCTGGGACTGGTTCTAAAAACTTGCTTTACCGCCAAATCTATGTGACCTTGAGCAAGTCACGTGCTTTTTCTGAGTTGCAGGGAGTGGATTTGAATTACTGCACTTTCTGCCTTACAGAGTGATTGCGAAGTTTAAGTGGATAAAAAAAAAAAAAACTTTGTAAATAGTACATTATCATACAAATGCAGTTGTATATATTGTCAGAAAAGTCCGGCAGATTTGTTTGTGTGAGGTCTCTCCTCTCCAAGACCAGGGGTCAGCCAAACTATATATAGCACGTGTACCAAATGAAACTTTCTTCCTCTTTTAGTAGTAAATCGAGAATTTGTTGTTGTGGTTGTTTTTAACCTGTTTAAATGGCTGGGGGTGGGTAGGGAAAAGAAAAATAACATTTTATAGCCTGTGAAAGTGATGTAAAAATTCAAATTTCATTGCCCATCCATGACATTTTATTGGAACATAGCCATACCCATTCATTTCGATAAATGTGTGTGGCTGCTTTCCAAGGGCAGAGTTGAGTAGTTGTGATAGAGATAGTATGGCTTGCATAGTTGAAAAAAATTTTACTCTCTGGCTCTCTACAGGAAAGACTTGCTGACCTCTGTCCTAGTGTGTACAGCCTAGAGGGCAGGAACCAACTATGTTTTGTGCATGGCTGTATCCTTAGCGTCTATTTCAACGTTGCTCACAGTGAAGCTCAATACATTTGTCGAATGAAACAAATGGAAAGTTGAACCTTGTTCCTTTTTTCTCTAGATTACTTTCCATCTCCTGGAATAAAGTAACAAATTCAATATAAATCTGAATTTCTTAAAGCTCTAGTGTTTTTTCAAAGTGATTTTTTTGTTCTGTTTGTTATTAAAATATCCAATTATTGAAACCACTTTCTGCATGTGTATAATAAAAACATTTTGCTTGACAAGTTCAGCTTTACTCATTTTTTTAATTTTTAAAATTTTATATTTACATAAAAGTTGCAAAGATAGTACAGAGAGTTACTATATGCCCATTCAATTTCTCCTATTGTTCATATCTTACACTACCTAGGTATATATATTGTCAGGACTAAGAAACTGACATTGTTATATTTCTAAAATCTAGCCTTTTTCTCTTTACTTTTTAAGTTTTTATTGTGATTTGAGTGAAAGTTTACAGGGCAGATCATCAGTTTTACAATATACTTTGTTTCATTACAATGATTATAATCCCCTCTATGTATCATCAATTAATGCCTATGTTTCTCTGAATGTCCCAGGATCCAATCAATGGGTTTAGTTACCATGTTTCCCTAGTCCCCTTTGATCTGTGATACTTTCTCCAAAGCTCCAATCGTTACTGTTAACAATAATAATGTTGTTAATTGCCATTGAGCCGGTTCTAACTCATAGGGATCTTGTCTATGGTTTCTGAGGCTGTAAATCTTTGTGGGAACAGAAAGCCTCTGGTTCTCCTGAGGAGCGGCTGGTGGGCTCAAACTGTTGATCTTGTGGCTCGAAGTCCAGTGCTTATCTTACAGAGCCACTGTTCACTAAGCTCTTTATGTGTGTTATATAATTGAGTTCCTCCCTCCCCCCCAACCCTGTGAGGTAGTTAGTATTGTTATCATCACATCAGAGTGCTGAAGCATAGAAAAGGCCTACAAGAAAGAAAAAGAGAAAACCAAGGACCTGGTGTGAGGGGAAGAAAACCCAAACAAAAATCTGAAAGATGAAGCACCTGAGACACAGGCAAAGTGCAGAGATTATACAAGGTGGGGCAAGGAGTCAAACCCAAGCAGTTTGACTCTAGAATTTGTATGCTAGACTTCTTTATATAATTGAACCTGGGATAATTGGCTGAAATTGTGCTATGCTTAGATGCTAGAGGGACACGGATGTCCTGAGGGAGTCCAGAGTCTAAGTGGAAAAACAAATGGATCAAGAAAGAATCTCATTAACGCAATATAGAGGCTATGCTAAGTATGTAAGACTGTCTGAGGTGGGGGTGGTCAGTTGAGTAAAGAGTTGAGAAGCATCATATAAAGTCTCGTTGCAAGATCCCCAGGTGATTTGTACCGGCATAAACATTTGAGATGCAGTGTCTTGGAGGAGATTTAGCATCCACTGAAGTACTGTGTCTTTTTCTACAATAAGCTTCAGCTGAAATCATATAATAATAGCACAAAAAGGGCCCTGGGAGATTACTAAAGTCCAACTGCTTTATTTCACAGGCCAGAAAATGCCTGGTAAAGGTAATATTAATATCAGATTAGGCTTCATGCAAAGAAGAAAGCTAGTTGATAACTGAACCAACAGTAGATGAGCTAAAATCGACTTGTATTGGTTTGTGTTTTCTTTTATACTGCTCCTACGACGAACCCCAAATAGACTACTTTAAAAGAGAGTCAATACATGTTCTCTCAAAACAATTTGTTTTTTGTTCGTTTTTAAGTTCCACATCCATTACTGACTAGGGATTGTGCAAATTCATCTGGATTTAGAATTTTGTGTTTTTGTTTCAAGTGATGAGAATGTCTTGTGGAAGAGACTAATATTTACTTCTGGACTAATGATATCATGTCAGGGTTTGGCATGCTATCGGGCTGTGATGGTGTTCATCTTTGCCATAGTGGACTTCGTTATACCAGTGTACCCATCGTATACCATATCCCATAATGATTTAATCATCACACCACTCCCATTTTTTTTTGTTGCAGAAACTGAAGCAGTGAAAAGATACTGTATTTCTTTGATTCTAAAACACACTCCCCTCACGCCCCTACATTGTAACACTCTGCAATTGAGATACAGCCTACAATTAGGGTCTCTTCAAGTAAATGAGCTATAGTAAGGATCCCTGGTGATGCTATTAGGCATTGGGTTACAAAGTTGGTGGTTCAAATCCACCAGCTGCTCCACAGGAGGAAGATGAGTCTGTCTTTTCTGGTAAAGGTTTACAGTCTCAGAAACCTTATACAGGGTCACTGTGAGTGAGACTCGACTTGATGGTAGTGGACTTGTTGTTGTTGTTGTTATGTGGACTAGCAGTTCTAAACTACTAGCCGTTCTGCGGGAGAAAGATGAGGCTCTCTGCTCCGGTAAAGATGTACAGCCTCAGAAACCCTATACAGGGTCACTATGAGTCAGTATGCACAGACTACCATGAGTAGGAATCTGCTTGATGACAATGGATTTGGGGTTGGTGGGTTTAGGGCTCCCTGAAGGACAGACACAAGGGGCTTGTCTTTGTTTTACCTAACTTAGACGGCACTGGGTTGTATGTAGTTTGGGTATAGTAGGTTAGAGGACTAGTGTTAAGATGCAGGTTTATAAGCTTCCAAACCTTATCCTTTATACAGGGATACCCTGACTTATGAAATATTCGAATTATGAGGAGTTATATCTTGTTGTTTATAATATGTACTACATACAATGTGGAGTCCTGGTATGGCACTATAGGATAAACACTGGACTGCTAACCTGATGGTCAGCAGTATAAACCCACTGGCCAATTCTCGGAAATCCTATACAGGGTTGTTATGAATCGGAACTAACACGATGGCACTTAACAACAAATGTTGGCAGTGTATAATTTGTTGAAATTACCTCTGAAGACAAATAAAGATCAGATTTATGAAGATACCAGTAATAAAACGCAATAATAATGAAACCTAAACAAAAGAAAGAGGTATTTGGCTTCTGTCAGAACTGACTTAAGACACAGGTGTTGGAATGGACCCCCCCCCCCCCTTGTAATCTGGGAGCTACTTGTACCTTGCTGTCTCCTGAGGTTAAGCCAGCAGCAGGCTTAAACTCTAAATGGTAGAGGCAGAAGTTCATGTCCTATAATCCCTATTCTGAATCGGGCTGCTAACCCCAAGGTCAGCAGTTCAAAACTACCAGCTGTTCCGCGGAAGAAGGATGAGGCTTTCTGCTCCCATACAGATTTATAGCCTCAGAAACCCTGCGCAGGGTCACTATGAGTTGGAACCGACTCCATGGTACTTACCAACAACAACACCAGTCAAGTTCTGATCATCAAGCCATCCAAGCTAGGTCAAATGGATACTGTTTGCAAGTTTGGGCATCCTTGCATGCCTCCCCCCACTTCAGACCAGCTGGTTGCTTCATTCTCAGCTCTAGCCCCCAGGTGCTAGGTCAGTGTCCATGGGCGTGGAAGTTCCAAGTCTCCCTAAACTTCAGACAAGTAAGCCCTCCCTCTTCTTTCTGTCATCTCAAGGTTGAAGGGAGTCTATGGAATATGGTTGAACCTAGCCCATGTCTTCATTGCTGCCTTTCCCCCACTTCCATTCACAAGTAGACCAGTGCAGTCACCAGCAAGCTTACTCGGTTCAAGGAGCCCTGGTGGCACATTGATTAAGTGCTCAGCTGTTACCTAAAAGGTCTGCAGTTCATACCCACCAATGACTGCAGGAGGAAAGACCTGGTCATATGCCTCATAAAGATTTCAGCTCAGAAACACACTGGGGCAGTTCAGCATTATCATGTGCTGTTGTTATTAAGTGCCTTTCTTTGAGTCAGTTCCAACTCCTAGCGACCTTGTATAGGGTTTCCAAGGAGCGTCTGGTGAGTCTGAATGGCCGACCTTGTGGTTCAAAGAGACGTAGAGGGTCATTAGGAGTTGGAATCAATTCAATGCCACACAAAATTACTCAGTACAATTTACTGAGTCCCTGGGTGGTGCCAATGGTTAAGTGCTGGCTGCTTGGAGTCTACTTAGAAAAAAAGACTGTCTACTTCTGAAAAACTAGCCATTGAAAACCCTATGGAGCACAGTTCTACTCGGACACACATGGAGTTGGCATGTTGAAATTGACGTGGTAAATGGTATTATTGTTAAAGTATAAGGGAGCTTCAAAAAATTCATGGAAAAATTACATTATCTTCTAAGTCTATTTTTCCACAAACTCTCAAGCCCTTCGTATGTAATCAGTTTCTTTGGCCAGTAAAATAAACTCTTCTTTTGCTTAGACCCAGAAAGATTATGTATTTCTGCTTCATACTTGCTCATCTCTTATTTTTACCCGATTTTATTAGGTGACAAAGCACATCATGATGAGAATAAAATATTTCATTAAGGAAATAAGACTGATTGACTTAGAAAATAAAAGTTGTTGAGGATCCTGGGATTAGCAGTACTTTATGTAAGATATAAGTGATATTTTCACTTATATTTATAATTCTTCAGTGTATTGTGTTTGCATTAAAAAAGGGAGGGGGGGCTACAATCTCCTTAATGGTATGCTTCTGGTTTATAGATCGTTCTTATATGCGATTAACAGAAAAGGAAGATGAATCACTGCCAATAGACGTAAGTTGGTCATTTATATTCCATTAAAAAATATTTTTTAAGTTAACCACCTAGTTTATAATAATTTATTTTGCTTATTTTTATGATCTTAAAGTTTTCCAGCTCTGAAAATAATAACTGTTCTTTACTTTCCATCACTTGTAAAACCCAAAGAATTGGAAATCATATGAGATCTGTTTTATTTCCAGAAATTGCTTCCTCCATAGTATAAGTTGGACTTACAAAGTTAATTATTTGGCTTTATTTTTTTAGAGAAATTCATTTTCTATAAAGTAAAAACACAAAACAAAACTAACACTTTTTAGGGTGATACACATAAATGGTGAAACTCAAGAAAAGCAATGAAGTGTTTTTTAAGCTAAAATGATTACATACCAAAGCAGTTTGATATTTTAGCTGCACTCACAATTTTTAGCTGTACAGGATTTTAAATGACAAAAGTCGTCTGTTCTTTGTAACAGAATCCAACAGTAAACATGAAAATGAAAACTTAACTCCATTTCTCAGCAATTCCACTTCCCACAGGTAACCACTGGTCACATTTTGGAGTATATTAGTTCAGTATTTTTGCTATCCATAAACAACATTTAAGTATGTATTTATCCAATCATACCCACACATAGTTTTTTTTCCATAGCATTATTTTGCATAGGTATGTATGCAAAATAATTAGTTTTTTCCTTCCATAATTTATTTGAGTATATTTTCATGACTGTTCATATAGATTTACTGCATTCTTCTTAACAGTGCCTATTAGTCCATGGTATGAAATCGGCCTTGGTAGGAACGTAAACATTAGGTTTTAACTTAGAACGTTTGAATGATAACTTGTGGCTCATTTTGACTTTGGATGTCTATAATTAAGGATATGGTATATAAGTCTGTGAACTCATTATCCCATCACTTTTGCTTTGTGGTAGATATTTATATATGTGTATGTATATATGAATACATATATATTTATTTATATTGATTTTAAATAACTTTAGATTACAAATTGGAAATTTTGAAAAATACAGACGATCACAAAAAAATAAAACATGTCTGTACTTCCATATTGGCTAATGCCAAACATTAAAAACTTTTGGTTTCACAATCTCTTTTGAAAGTGGTTTGGTATTGCCGATAATGTTGACCTTAGACCTAGCCAACACCCAGCCAGTCTACCTCTGAGCACCAGGAGGCATGCATAAGAATAGAAATATTCATTTTGATACTGTTTGTGAAAGTAGCAAACTGAGAACATCCCAAATACCTATCAACCTTAGAATGGATAAACTGCGTTTTCATATCATGAAAGACAAAACACAATGAAAATGACTAAACTACTACTACACAGGAGGACTCTCACACAATGCTGAGGGAGAAAAGCTTAAGCTTAAAGGATACGTCTTTGATGAAACAAACAGCTTTATATAAACAGTCCATTTCTATAAAGCTCAAAATAATCACAATGAAACAATGTGGCCTTTTAGACATAGGTACATAAATGATGAAACTTTAAAAGCAAGGAACTGACCCAACTGGTAAAAAATTGGGGACGAAAGTTAACTTTGAGAGGAAGGGCGAAGGATATGACTGGAGAGGAACACACACATCAAAGCCACTGGTAGTGTTCTATTTCTTATGCGAGGTGTGGGGTGAGTAGTCTTTTTACTGCTTTTTTATTCAGTGTACACATATGCATCAGAAACTCTTTGTATGTGTGATAGTTATTAATACATTTTAAAACTTCTTAGCTGCTCCTGGAAGCAAGACCTATTTGATGAACAAGTTGACATACATGAGCATGGCATGAAGTGCTTCCATTGAAGTATTCTAGCAGCTGATCTGCAGGGTTTACAGTTTGTGTGTGTGTGTGTTTTGAATCCAAATTGTTTAAAGTGAGCATTGACTCTTTCATGAGCAACTCATTGATCGAGGAGGATTACCTGTTAGATAGAGCCTAGAAAGAGATGGTGAAAAAATTGAAAATTGTTATAATAACATTTGTATGTTCTTTAGTAATCTTGATCTTTATACTCACAGATAGTTCTTCAAACCCTTCTGGCCTTTGCAGTTACCTGTTATGGTATAGTTCATATCGCAGGGGAGTTTAAAGACATGGATGCTACTTCAGAACTAAAAAATAAGTAAGTCTTTCCCTTTTTGTAGCTGTTTTGTTTCATAGGAGTTCGCTTTCTTTACTTAGTTCAAAAAGCATATTTTCTGGTACATAAAAGTTGATCTTGTTTTTTGGATTATGCCATATGTTTGAGTAAATGAGGTAAAAAGAGGGACGCAGTGTTTTGACCTGATAGGGAAACTGACTGTCATCATCATTGACATTAAAATGAGATGTTCTGAAGTTGCAGTGCTAGTTGCTTAAAATTATTTGTTGGTTGAAAATAGAAAAGACATTCCTCAAAGATTGTAACCGCCTTTCTTCCCTCTTCCTACTCTTGTCCCAGTTTAGTTTTGGGGGGAATAAAAGAGTTTTCTGTTTTCCTAGTCACATAGCCAAGTCTGTGACAATAGCTCTTGTTCCCAGGCCCTTTTGTGTCCCTGTATTAAAGTATATTTGTTATTCTACTTTTATCCTCCTCCTGTATTTCTTCTGGTCTTCTGGTATGGCATGGTAGGATAAGCACTGGACTGTGAACCACAAGGTTGGCAGTTCAAGCTCACCAGCTGCTCCTCAGAAAACCTGTACAGGGTTTCTATGAGTCGGAACTGACTCGACGGAACTTAACAAGAAACAACAACATGTTTCTTCTAGGAAGCTCTGGTGGTGCTCAAGTGTTAACAGAAAGGTTGGTGGTTTGAACTCACCCAGTAGCTAAGCGGGAGAGAAACCTGGCAATCTGCTCCCATAAAGATTATAGTCCAGGAACCCCTTTGGGGCAGTTCTACTCTGTCCCATGGCATCTCTATGAAGTAGAATCAACTCCACGGCACCTAGCCTAACATACTTCTTCTATGTTACTTTCATGAACTTACTTCATTTTTCTTCTCTATAATATGTCTTACTTTCCTAAAAGGAGAGACCAGTCGCTGGAGAAGGATATCATGTTTGGTAAGGTGGAGGGTCAGAGTAAAAGAGGAAGACCCCCAGTGAGATAGATTGGGCAAGTGGCAACATCAGTGGGCTCAAGTGTGGCAATAATAGTGAGGTTGGCCCAGGATCAGGCTGTGCATAAGGTCGCTATGAGTCGGTACCGACTCGATGGCACCTGACAACAAAGCATTTTTTCAGCTTTGTCCAATTTCATCTCTGGGTATTATCCACTCTCCTGATGCTGGAAATGATAACCCTTTATGATATATTTACAATGAGCACTTATGTATTAGAGGAAGCTTACCCTCCTTTTGTTTCCTTATTATACATTTTGAATAGTTACATCTCAGGCCTCATGTTTTGTGTGCTTTGATTTTTAGGTGGGCTGACTTTGAGATTTACGTTTTTATCCAAGGAAGAGTTCTCTGTTTTCCAGAAAAATAATTTATAAAAACAAACACTTGTGTATAAAGACAATGTACTTACTTAGATGTTTATGAATTGTTTAACATATATATGTAGTTGTTAAGTGCCATTGAGTTATTTCTAACTCATAGCAACCTTGTATAGGGTTTCTGAGGAGTGGCTTGTGAGTTTGAACTGCTGACCTTATGGGTAGCTGTCTAGTGCTTATCCTACCATGCCATACCAGGACTCCACATGTGTATTTGCGTGTATATATAACTCACATATAAATGTATGTATATCTGTATCAATGAAAAAGAAGAATGGCTATTTTACTATCAACACATACTACTGTTCTTTTAAAGAGCCTCCCAGAAATCACAGGCAAGGGGTCAGAAAAGAACAAATTAAGATACAATGGCAAAAAATAGGTGGTAGCAAATTATATGAGTTTAGACAATAGCAGGTACAGATGGCCAAAAGGAATTTCAATTATACTTGATTCTTGGAAAGCAGATCTGTGAAATGATCACAAGGCTTGAGTTGTGAGGGCCAGATGAGAATAATCAAAGATGCAGTCCATGTGCTTTAAAAGGCTCTTTGGCCTGGGCTTTTATTACATTTACAAAGGTGATTAAAGTTGAGCCAGTCTTTGTGTTATTATTCATAGTCATCCTGGAAGGAATGGCTGAATGAAAAGGAATTTTGAGGGCTTTATGCTTGTTATCTGTGGCTCTTGTTTTCCTTTTACAGGAAAAAAATAAAAATGAGCTAGGGTATGATTACCATTATAGTCTGATTTCATGGATTTATACTTAGTTTGAAGTATAAACAATAGTTTGCTTATTTTCAGACAGACATTTACAAAGGCTTACTTAAAATTAATGCTTTTTTTTCTTTAAAGGACATTTGATACATTAAGGAATCACCCATCGTTTTATGTATTTAATCATCGTGGTCGAGTACTGTTCCGGCCTTCGGATTCAACAAATTCTTCAAACCAAGACGCATTGTCTTCGAACACATCATTGAAGTTAAGAAAACTTGAATCGCTGCGTCGTTAAGATTTTTTAAGATTATAATAACAGGACAGGACACAGAGTTGGAATATTGGAGTTTGGGGTATAAAACACTCCCCCTATCAGTATTTATATTGATCTTTCAGACCGAATCAAACCAGAATCTATGACCCTTGTTTGTACACTGTTAGTCAAGTCAGTACTGCAATATAAGTTATCTGTGAAACAAGTCTGACTTTTTTCATAGAGGATTTTGTTTTGTTTTTCATTTAAAACAAATTTGCATCTTTTGTAAAAGTCACTGTTTTGAACATGTCTTTGGAAAATGTTGATGGGTTTTGTGATATTTATTTTCTTAGATTTCTTTTCTTTTGCACTGCAGTTTTTAGGATCCTTCTGGAAATACTGTATGACGAGTGCATTTGGCAGTATGAATGATAGGAAAAGAGTCTTCTGTTTTCAGCAACCAATGAACTTGACTAAGGAGACCAAAATGATGATCGATCAGGTTTTCTTAAGCCGCCCTAAATTATGTGGCTCTTCTTCAGCAAATACTAGCCAGATATGAATTTGTCCATGACCTCTCACCCCACCCCACTTCCATATACCTTCAAACTTCCGTGGTCTTGTTTCCTCACTTTTCTGAGATTCTGTGTACGCAAGTGAGCAATTTTTATGTCAGAAACTTTGTTTTAACAAATATATTTAACACACTCAACTTGCTGTAAGCAAGTTGTGTTCCCTTTGTTTATCTATAAAAATTTGCCCTAATTAATTGTATAGTGCAAGAATAGTTGAAGATAGACCAAAAAGACCATTCATGATTTAATTATATTGCCTTTGTAGAAGAGTAGTAATCAGTGAGGGAAATTGATTATGTGATGGCTGTCAGGTAGCCTGTTTAACTTATTTAAAACCTCTGTTAATTAATTGCATACTAAACTAGAATGAATTTGGAAAATAAAGAACACTTCTCATTAATCTGAAGTCAGACTTCAAAGGACTTGGGCCCAAATGAATTCTAAATAGTTGGAACTAGTATTTGGAGGGAAATCCCAGAAAGCCAAGCTTCAGATCATTTAAGAAGTTGTGCTGCTTCTGATTTCAAGCAGCCTGGCATTTTTCATCTTCACCATGTGTTGTTGCTAAAGGTGAGGGTGAGGATATAGAGATTTGTTTTTTGTTTTTGTTTTTTAGAAATAGATAGTAATTTTACTTTTAGGGGAAATTTGGCTAGCACTTTGATCTTCTGAAAGTTCACCATTTCTTTGTAGACCAGATTGCTTTTGCTGTATTGTATAGGTATAAAGGGAATAACTGGAAGCAGGTTTGAAAAGGAAATGTGCTTTAGGTAAGAGTCAAATGATACCCTTGTACTTGATGAAACTTTTTCCTTTGAAAATGAACCTGATACTCTGATGCTTGATGTCATTTTTTTTTTCCCATTGAAAATCACCCTCGACTCTTCTTTAATGCCTGGTAATGCACAACCCCAAAACCTGCGATGATTTTGCCATAGGATGTTCTTACTGTTTTTCCACCCAGTCTGTCTGTGGAGAACAAAGTTACCTATCTTCTAATAGCTCGACATTACTTAAAGAAATGAATTAAAATGTGAAATCAGAGGTTAAAATGATTTTTTTAATCAAAATAATATAGAAAGACAAGCTCCTAAGTCAGGCCTTGGAAGTCACTTGTTTTCTTCACTCTGGGAGCTGTTTGCCTTTCCTGCTTTGGTTTTTGGTCACTTTATTGAGATACAATTCACATACTCTACAGCTCACCCAATTAAAATGTATAATTAGGTAGTTTTTAATGTATATTAACAGGTGTGTTACCACAGTCAATCTTAGGATATTTTATTACCCCACAGCTATTAGCAGTAATCTTGCCTTTCACCATAGTCCCTCCGTCTCCCCCCAGCCCAAGGCAACCTCTAACCTCTTTTATCCCTATAGATTTGCCCAGGGATTTATGCATATGTAGTCTTTTGTGACTTGCTTCCCCAATATGGTTTTACTCTATGTGGAGTGAGAAGCTTTTCTCATCTTTAGATCTGTTACTGCTCTGAAAGGAATAGGCTGGCAAGTCAGATTTGAGAAGGGTGGGTCAGATGCCTACCAGTTTTCTGAGTAAGTTCGATGGTGAATGGTTTTTTCCTCAAAGGCAAGCATTCATGGTAAACTGACACTATTTTGGCTGATGTCTGGAATGGGTATTGAAGTCTTTGCCTGCCTAGTCATGAATGTATTGCTAAAAATGATGCTAAATAATTTGACAAATAATCAACATGGCAGTTTTCAGATATATCCTATTTTGCTAACAATTTATATATACCTCAGGCCAGGTGAGCTTCAAAAAAAAATTGATTTTAATGCCATCCATTGAATTGAATCTCTGCTGTCTTTTAAGTATGCACCATAGGACTGGAGGTGACTTGGGTGCAGTGTAACACTGCAAATGAGTCAAGTACAGATTTTTATTTTGCGTACTATTGAGATGCTTCATTACTACTACTGAGGGTAGTCTAAAAGTGTAATGATGTGAGCTAGCTAAGCCCACAGTTAAGTATGATTTCAGTGATATTCAGAAGTGTGTGCTGTTCAAGCAACTCTAGAATAGAGGAAGACTTCACTTCTTAAATATCCAGGGATCCAGCCAAGTGCTGTGGGCAAATGACCCACCCGATAAGAATGCAGATCAATTCATTGGAGGCTGTGGCGCTTTGTAATTTCCTCCTGATTGTTTCCTAAGCATTGTGGCATATTGTTTGAGTGGCATGATAGCATCTTCCTGGTTCTTTGTAGCCTGTTTCCATGATGTATTGATTAGTGTTGTTTGTTGTGAGCATTGATGCCTGTAACACCAAACCAAACAAAAAGTTGTTGGATATGTTTCCCCTTCAAATGACCTTGCCCTGTCCAATAAAGAAATGAATTGTCTCACCTTGTTTTTGGTAGTATTGTTTGTTTGTTTTTTCCTTGTAATCTCATTTTATCCTGTTTCTCTGTCCCCAGAAAACTATACATTCATTTAGTGACTGTGTTTTCTACCAGTGTATTGAAGGGATACTTTACTCTTTTTGGTCAAGCGAAAAAGTAGCATAGAAATGATTCAAGTCTAATGGAAATTGTTGTTTTTGTAAGTACCATTGAGTTGGTTCTAACTCATAGTGGCCCTGTATAGGGATTCCGGGGAATGGCTGGTGACTTTGAACTGCAGTACTTATCCTACAGTGCCACGCCAGGAAATGTTGTTAAGTACCATCGAGGAGGTTCTTACTCCTGGCGATCCTCTGTAAGGTTTCCGAGGAGCTTGAACCGCCGACCTTGCGGTTCAAACCTATTTTTCAGTCCAGCGCATTAACCCACAGCGGCACACCAGGACTCCACACCAGGAAATAGGGATCACTATACTTGCTCGCTGTGGGTTAATGCGTTGGACTGCAAAGCCGTTTGAACTGCAAAGTCATGGAAACCCTATACAGAGTCGCTATGGGTCGGAACC